TGAATCCTCTCACCCTCCGCATCTCTGGCCTGTACCCTAGTTCTGTATGAATAAATAAATCTTTTAAAATAATAAATAAATAAAAATAAAAGAAGGCGTCTTAGCACCACTGGCCAGCCCACGCTGGAACGGGAGTCTCTGACGCTGGCGCGCCAGGTGAGCCGGGCTGGTGACCGGTGTATTTTGCTTGGCCTGAGGACGGCTAACAACTTTTGTTTTTGAATTTGTGCCACTGTTTCAAAAATTGGGACATTTCCCATCAAATGCACATTTCTGGAAAAACACAGGCGGTGGCTGCCTGGTCCATGCTTCCTGATGGGGGGGGGGGGGACGACCGGCGGCCACTTCCCAGGCCTCCGGGCCCTGGCGACTGTGCCACCAGCATCGCCTTCTGGCCCTGAGAACTCTCGAGTTTCCGCCATCATGAAACAGCCTCTTCCCCTGTCGCCCCGCTCCCCACAGCTGAGAGCCGCTCTTAGGCTTCCCGCGGACCCCGGGACACCCAGCTCGGGGGGAACTTCAGGTCCACGAGCAGTACTTTTTGCGTGGGGTGCCCCTGACTGGCCGCGTCTGGCCCGACCGTGCGGGACTTTCTGTGTGGACCCCGGGGACTTCTGTGGGGACCCGTAGCTGTGGGGTCAGCGCCCTGTCCCGCCTCTGCCTCCCGCGGGGTTGCAGCCTTCGCAGGCGCTGGCCCACGGCTGTGCCCTCCTGCCCTCTGGAGAGCCCTGGCCCGGGCCTCGGCGGCCTGCCTCGCCTGGGGAGCCTCGGTTTCTTCACCTGAGCAAAGAGGACCCGAAAGGTAGCCGGTGATTTCTGTTTCTGAAAGCTGCGTGGAACGGACGGTCCACGGGCGTCGAGGCTGCCGCCCGCTTGTGGCTGGCGGCAACGAGGCTCTGGGAGGGTTGGCGGGGGAAAGGCGGCCTGGCGGGAACTGGGCCGTGGCCCTCCACTTCCATTTGGCTAAAAAAACGAAAGAAGGAGAAGAAGGGCGTTTGTCTCCCTGGAAACCACTGATCTCGAGGACATGGTCTCCTTTCAGGCGCAGGCGGTGGAGGAGACGGTGGAGAACTTGCTCCTCAGGCTGGAAGAGTTCTGCTGCCTGACTGACATGGTGAGTGGCGCCTGGGACGTGGGGTTCAGGCCCAGGCCGGACGCCAGGCCCAGCCGGAGCGTCCTGGGGAAGACGTGTTGGTGGTGATTTAGCAGCCTGAAGGAGCGGGGCAGAGGCCCGCGGTGAGAGGGGCCGCGGCCGCCCTCTCCCCCTCTCCCCACCCCGCCCCCAGGCTTCCCGAGGCGGCCATCTTGATAACGCCTTCCCGGGAGATGGCTCCTGTTCCACAGGAGCCGGCGCGGGCCACCAGGTGGCACTCTCGGGCACCGAAGCAGGGAGCCTTTCCGCGGGGATGCTAAGACTATATTTAACTTTCCTCTTTCTGCGCAGTTCACCAGGCAAACATGGAGACAGCCAGGAAATGGCTTCGGGCCTGGGAGGCCCGGGAGGAAGCTCTTGCCAGGCGGTGGGCCGGGCAGCTTGGCACCGTCCCGCCCCCTCTTGGGCTCTCTCCACTGTTTTGGATCAGGTCCCCTTGGCTGGGTGGGAAGACGGAAGACAGTGCCATAGGCCTGGAAGACAAGGTGCTCACTGAAATTCCCTAGAAATCTCTGGATCCTGTGACCCGGGGTCGTTGTCAGCCAGGGACGGGGCCCTGAGGGGCAACGATGGCGGTTTCTAGAAATCCCCAAGCTTGTTAGAGGCAAACCAGCAACTCAGCTCCCACGTTTCCACCTGGAGGCCCAAGGGGGCCGCCGGTGGGTGTGGTTGGCGCCCTGCAGAGGGCGCGTGCGAGCACCCAGGGAAGGAACCGCACCAGCAGCCCGGGTGTTTATTGAGCACCTACTTTGTGCCAGAGTGCCGTCTCATTTCCTCTCGAGGCAGCCATCTCAGCGGGCACCATGTCATCAGCAGACCTGTGGGGACACGGAGCAGGAGTGTCCTGAGAGCACCTCTGTGTGTTTTCCTAGTCCAGACGCTGGTCCCGCTGGGAGCCAGGTGGAGAGAGAGACTGGGAACAGCTTGGACTGGCCTTTTTCATCACCAAGTGCTGGGCGCCATCGCTGAGTGGGTCCTGGGGTGAGCCAGGGATGGAGAGAGTCAGCTCCACCTCTGCACCCCGAGGCCCCTGCCCCCTTCTGCGGGGGGAGCGTGATGTGTGCAGCTCAGTCGCCATCCCCCACCGTGAACTCAGTCCCCTGCAGAGGAGGGCTGCGGAAGATTTGAAAGGGCGGTTAGGCCGAGAAGGACCTGGCCCCCAGTCCTGGGGCTCGTTTGCTTAAAAAACACCAAACAGGGTAGAGAGGTTCGGTTCTGCCTGGGAGAGTGGGAGCAGGGGGTGATTTATCTGGGGCTTGGACAAATTCAGCTGCCAGGGAGCGCGGGGAGGGACCCCCCCACCCGCCGCTGGGGGTCAGCGTGAGCCCAGGGGCTCGGGAGATGGAGCGAACCTGTGACCAGGGACGTCTTTGTTCTCCAGGCCCAGCCTCCTGGGGGAGACCCCCGCCGTCCGGGAGGAGCGCCGGGCAACAGTTGGCCGGGGCAGGTCAGGCAGGGCACCCCTGCCTTGACGCCGTCAGGCTCACGTGCGTGACGTCTCCAGAGCCCACGCTGCTGGCAGCCTCGGGAAGGGCAAACCAGCAGCTGGAAACCAGAGAAGCGTTCATGCCAGGGTTTTAATCCTGAGGCCCGGGGTGTCCTGCCTGCGCACAGGCGGGCTGTGTCCGGGGGAAAGAAAGGACGCGGTTACAGACACACAGAGAGCGTGCCGTGGAGGGCGCGTTTCCGGCTCCCTTTAGGACAGCGGAGACCTGGCCCCCTAGGGTGCTGGCTCCAGCCCGCCAGGTCCCAGCGGGGCTGCGCGGCGGCCGTCCCCTGGGGCCGCACGCTGGCCCTCCGCCGCCCACTGGCCGCTGGCCCCTGCGGGCCCCACCACAGCCAGGTGCCGGCTGGATCTCCGTGGCGGTGCGTTTCATGGCAGAGAATGTTTCTCAGTGCGTTTGGCTCATGGAAAGTGAGAGAATGAAGCGGATCAAGAGGGCTCCCTGCTGTGAGGACTGCAAGGAGCACGGAGCGAGAGTGGGGCGAAGAGCAAACTCAGGGACATGTGAGTGCCCACATCAGGAGTGTGCTCATAGGGCAAGTGGGCAGCACCTACGGAGTTTGGTGCCATCCGGGTTCTGGAATCCTCTTGGCCCGCCGGTGGGTCTGCTGTGGCGTCCCGGGACCCGTGGCACAGAGCGGGTCTCTGGTCAGACGGGGGACCTTGTTTTTCCGTTTGAGTTGCTTTGAAGTCCAAGCTAGGGGCCCTTCCCGGTGCGCAGCGGATTAAAGCACAGCTCGAGGTCGATCCCGGCCAGAGGCGGCCCCCAGGGCGCGGCAGACCTCTCCCGTGTCCCCGCTGCTCCCCTCGGCAGTGTGCTTCAGTCCATCTGTCTGTCCTGCTCCCTCTCTTTCTCTGTTGAGTCCTCTCACCCCCCGTACCTCTGGCCTGTACCCCAGTTCTTGTGTGCATAAGTAAATAAGTCTTAGAAAAAAAATGAAATCCAGGTGAGGGTTGAGTGGGAGCCCCGGGGCAGGTGATATGGCCCTGTGCGCCCCTGCTCCTGGGCCCACGGCTTGGCCGTTGGAAACCCTGATCAAGTTAGAGGGCTGAGACAAGCCAGGCTCCCTGCTGCTCGGTCTGGAGAGAAGCCGCTTGGTTTCTGATGCAGTCGGGTTGCTAGGAGGAGCCCCGCCTGGCTGATGTGCTGGTCTGTCCTCGGCCGGGGCTGGGTCTCTGGTCACTGCTCCGCCTGTGGCCTCCTGGGACCTGCGATGCAGTGCGGGGTGCTGCAGAGACCCCGCGCCCCGACTCTCCTCGGGCGGGGTGGGGCGGGCACCCACGTTACCTCTCTGTGCCTTTCTTTTATTTCTCTGGGAAATATGGGCCCCACGGCTCTGATTATCAACCCCCCAGAGCTCAGTGACATGAAACAGTCACCTGTTTGTCATGTGGGCCAGGGCTGGCCAGTGGGGCGGGCTTGTCTGGGCGCGGCTGGGGGCCGGGCTGGGAGAGCGGGTGGCTGGGCGCTGGTGGATGTGACTTTCCCCCGTGGCCGCTCTCAGCGTGGGCACTTGGGCCTCGTCTCAGCAAGGCAGCCAGGCCACCCCAGAGCAGAGAAGTGTGTGCTGCCGGGTGTCTCGTGGCTTGGGTGTGGAAATCGACACTGTCCTGTCCTATTTCATCGGTCAGCGTGCTGACCTGGGCCCCCGAGATGGGAGGGGAGGGGACAGAGAACCCTCTTCGTGGGCGAAGTAAAGCCCACGCCCCCCCCTCCCCCCGCCCCCTCCCGGGCTCTGGGTGTCACTGGAGAGGCCAAAATGAGAAACTCTCTAGCAAGTGTGGGCCAAGTTGGGGAGCAGCAGAGACTCAGTCTTTGGCTGGTGGACATGCAGAAAGGCACCCCGCTTTAGGAAACAGCGTGAGCTCTTGTGAAGTCCCGCAAACACCTGCCCTCAGCCCCGCTCTGATCCCAGACAGCCACCCAAGAGCAGTGACGGTCGGTGCTACCAGGAGCCAGGCGTTCACAGACGCTTCCTCCCCGAGGCCACAAACTGGACGCAACCCAGCGCTGCTCAGCAGTCGGGAGGGCGTGGACACTGTCTCTCACTCCTCCACTGCAGCGCACGGCGAAGGCAAGGAGCGGACACAGCGCGTCCGGTGTCGTGGGCCCCGAGCGTGTCCTGGGAGTTCGGGTCCTGGCGCCTGTCTTGGCTGACGCTGCAGGACTTCTGTGGTGATGGAAGTCAGTTGTTTGGGTGGGTGTCAGGACTGGAGAGGGGTGTGAGGGAGCCCACAGGGAGAGGGGACGTTCTAGATGTCGGTCTGGGTCGTGGTTACCCGGAGGAAACCAGTGTCACTGCCCACGCAGGGCCCGGGCACCTCACGGACTTCACTGACCCTCACCTGAAAATCTTTGCTCAGCGCGGTGTCTGTTATGGCCGCAGGGAGCCCAGGGTCAGCGCGGGCGACAGCTCGAGGCTGAGGACACGGTGGCGTGACCCCTCCCCGGCCCTGCGCGGCCGCCCGGCTCGGCCTTGGGTTTGGGCACTTGCCTGGGCCTGGAACCCCAGAGCCGAGGGCCCACCTTCGCAGCGAGCAGGCGCTTACGTCACTCGCTCAAGTGGAGAAAATTCCCTTCTGGCTTCTGCCCAGCACTTGCATTTGGCGTTGGTGTGTGTTGGGCCAAGTGAATTTGGCTCTCCTTCCTGGGGGCCACAGTCGTCCGGGTCGTGGCTGCTCTGTGGGAACCCAGCCCCTGCCGCCCTGACTGCTGGACTTCGAAGGTGGGGGGCAGGACTGCCCGCCCCGGCCAGCAGCCCCCAGAGGCCCGAAAGCTTTGCCTCTTCCCTGACGTCTCTGTGCTCTCAGCACAGAGCACGCAAGCCCAGGTGCCTGTGACAGGATATGCGACAGGCTGGGCACGAGGGAACAGTGTGCCGCTTTCCTGCGAGCCTCCTCTGAGGCGCCTAGCGGGGAGACGTCGGGAGTGGTGAGGACTGCGGTTAACCAGAGGCGCTGCTGCCGCCCGGTTCCAGCTGCTCGTGACCACATGAAACTCAGGCTTCTGTGGCCAGGTGTTCTGAGCTTTCAGAAGCCTGGTGACGAAGCCAGAAATCTGGGTTTCTTTTTTTCTTTTTTCTTTTTTTAAGATTTATTTATTTATGCACATAGAACTGGGGTACAGGCCAGAGGGGCGGGGGTGGTGAGAGGCTTCACGAGAGACAGAGTGGGGAGCAGATGGACGAAGCACATTGCTGAGGGAGCAGCGGGCGGGTCAGGGGAGGTCTGCTGCGCCCTGTGGGTCAGCTCCGGGTCCGGGGCTGGAACTCGCACTGATGCGGCTGCGGCCGGCTTGCAGCGCTGCGTCCTCACCCGTTGTGCCACCAGGGAGGGCTGAAGTCTGGGTTTCTAAGGGAAATTTTAGGTCTCGGCACCTGACTTGGCTGTGTTTTGGGGTTCTTTTCAGGCATCCTGCAAGCTGACTCTGCCCAGGCTCAGCATACCCTGTCTGTAGCCCTCTGGGGTCAGGGGGCCTCAGGCCAGCCTGCATGGGGACCCTCCACCTCTTCCTGTGTAGCTTTGCGACCTTGGGTGAACCCACTTAGCTTTTCTCAGCGTCTTCACCGTACAGCGAGGTAGTTTCTGGTTGTCAGCGTCTATTCCCAGCACAGTGAGCTCTGCCGGACTGCGGGGCGTTGGCGCACCCCCTCCTGTTCTGGCCAATACCCCACGACTCTCATTCTCCCCTCAGGGTCTCCAGGCCCTGGGGGAAACTAGAGAAAGGTTTGGGAGTCACTTGAACCCTAAAGTTTGTTCCCTGGTGCCCCCCCACCCCCCGCCACCTGCAGTTCCAGCTGGTGGAGAAGTGTCTCTGGAGAGGCCTCCTGCCCGGCCTGGACCCTCTGTTCCTTGGGTCCCTTCCTGTGTGGGGGGAGTGCTCTTGAGTCCCTCTACAGGGGTCCCCTCGCCCTTGCAGGTTGCTAAGGCCCCTCCCCCTGACGCTTGCGCCCTTCCCACGTGATCCTGTGGGCAGTCAGAGAGGGTGGCTGCGTCTGCCGGCTGGGTCCGGCCGTCAGGCGTCGCTGGCTGGTGCTTGCGTCACGAGGAGGACAGCTCTCGCTCCAGGGACCAGCCCGGGGAGAGAGGAAAGATGCAGAAGACTTTAGCCTCCCCCCGGTACAAAGGCAGGTACCTGTGCCGGGAGCCAGCCGGACATGACGGAAGGGGCAGTGGGAGCCGAACCCCACGGAAACCATTGGAGCCTCGTCGACATAGGCAGCACTGGAGGAAAACGGTTCGTGCTCGAAAACATTTTTTAAACCGTCGTGTCGGGCTGTCCTAGTTATCACTGCAGACCGGTGATCCCCAAATGTGGGGACTCAACCAAAGGCGTTGATTGCTGCTCTGGGTGGAGCCACGGGGAGTCTGACCGGGTCCCGGGCTGCCCGCAAGGTCTCGGCCAGGGCCACCGTTATCTCCGGGTCCACTGGGCCAAGGCCGCGTGCAGGTCAGTGATGTGGTAGGACTCAGGTCCTGGTGGGCGGTTGGCCCCGCGCCTTGGCCGGCGACCTCCGGGGAAGCCAGAAAGCAGGCGCCTGCAGGCCAGAGCGAGTCTCGGAGCCTGACCTCAGGTGACACTGCCCGCTGACCCCTCTGCCAGAAGCGGGTCTGTGGAGGAGGAGGCAGGGCCAAGCTTGCCACGCGGCTGAGCGCTCGGTCCTGGCTGCCGCGGGCACACAACGGGCTCAGCAACGGGCTCAGAGCGGTGTGGAGACTTGCCCCAGGTCATACCGCCTTGGGAGTGGCGCTGAATTCAGCCCCGGTCTGATCTGGACTCCGGCTCCGAGCGGACCCCCTTCCCCGCCGGCTCCCGCCTGGCCTCCACCCAGCCTGGCCTCGACCTTGGGTGGAGACGGCCCGACCAAGCCCGGACAAACTGGACCAGTGTGGGCGGGCGTGGGAGTCAGCGCCCGGCCGGCCTCCCCAGAGCGGATCACGCACGAAGTTAGGCCGGGGAAGGAAAGGAAGAGTCTGATTTAAGTGAAGAAAAGGATGTGGCTTCGTAACATCCACGGCAGCTTGGGGGATCCTTGCAGGCAGGAGAAGTTGAAAAGCAAATGAGATGGTGACAGGAAGCGCTGCACCAGGGCCCGCCTGGAAGCTGGGTTTCCATTGGCATCATTAACGCCTGTGGATGAGCATTATTGACGCGTAAGTGTTAGTAGTCCCAGTGTCACGAAACCTCGGCCTCCCTGGCCTGGGCTGAGAGAGGAGAGTTTGATGCTTTCCCTCCGCTCCAGCTCAGGGTCTAGAAAATGAAGACATTTAGTTTGGGGCTAGCTTCAGTGGGTGTTGGGGGCACAGTTAATTTGAGGTTCAGTCAGTAATACCTGGCTGACTGGTCCTCACCTGTGCCTCCAGGTGGCGCCTGGCTCGTCCGCGGGCAGGGTGCCGCTCGGTGTCTCGGCCACCATCGAGGCCTGGGCAGGCCCTGGCCGACCCCAGAGGCAGGGGGGGGGGTGGGAGTCGGGGGCAGAGGGCCCGATGGGCTGTTTGGCTGTTTGCAGATCAGGAATGATACGTCGCAGATCCTGGAGGAAAACATCCCGCTCCTTAAGGCCAAGCTGGCAGAAGTGCGTGGCATCTACGCCCAGGTGGACCGGCTGCAGGTGGGTGCGGGCTCAGGGTGCTCCGTGGACAATTCTGCTCTTTGTCCTTTCACGATGCTGGTCTGGCCTTGAGTGTGTCGGGTGTTGGGGGAGCACTGATGGCTAAGTGTGGTTAAAGGGGGTCCACGCTCCTCTGGTATTTAGGACAGACAGGAATTTGTAAAAGTCCCCTATTTAAAAATGGAGTATTTTCTGTGAAAATTAGAGTTTTCGCTGCTTTTGGAAATTAGACATTTTAATCACCTGGCACCCCGTTTTTCTAAACACCTGAACCTGTTTCTGTTTCAAGGCATAAAGACATAAAACACAACCATCTTAAGTGTACAGTTTTCAGTGGCGTTTCACGTACTTATAAACCCCTGGAAAGATGACCCAGATCGAGAAATAGAGCCTTTACCGTCCCTTAGCTGATCTTGCGGGCAGGTGGCATGAGACCATGGGTGAGACCATGCTCTGCGCTCGCCGCACTCTCCACCACGCCCTAACGCCTCAGAGCTCGCTTATCTCCCCCTCTGCTACTTGGAGGGGCACCCAGCTAAGATGCTCTGTGAAGTCGGGCCCTCTGTCTCCAGAGGAGGACCATCGGCTGCGAGGGCAATTCGCTGCCCACAGTCACATGGCTACTTCTCTAAGACTCCAACATGTACCCGTCAGCACCCACACTCTTAGACAGCCCGATACCCTTGGCTTGGGGTCCTGGCCCCTCGGGTGCTGGAGGGTCCAGAGACCGGGAGGAGTTTGTGATCAAGCAGTATTTCCTGGCCGGAGGGCACACAGGCCACTCTACGCTGCAGGGGGAAGTCAGCTAGGAAGTTAGCAGAGAATTAACATTCTTGTCAGCCGAGAATGAGGCAGGAATATAATTAAAACTTTGCCCTTGGAAAAGCTGATTCATTTGAATTTTATTCCATACATTTGAAAGAGGAAAGAAAATGTGAAGGTTTATCGCTCTGGCTCTTGCCTGGCATGGGGCGGCTCAGTTCTGCAGCCCTGTTCTCTCCGGTTTACTAGCATTTATTGAGGACCTACTGTGTGCTACTTAGGACCTACTGTGTGCTGCTGTGGAGCTCACCCCTGACTGAGGCAGACATGCAGCTAAGGTCACACAGCAGGAGCCCCAGGGCAGTAAAGCACCACCAGAATAGGTTCCTGTCTTGCAGCCGCACACTTCTGCAGCCTGGGAGGATGGACACAGCCCAGGGAGGGGCCCAGAGGTGGGGGGACCCTGACTCTGGGCAGGAAGGAGCTGGATCATGAGGACCCTGGGCTGGCCAGAGTACAGGCACGAGGGAGGCCGCAGCTGGCAGGGTGGAGTGAGTGGAGGGCAGGACACTCGTGTAGGCCTTGCGGCCAAGGTCAGCATTTAGGCCTTTATACCAAGGAGAAGGGAGCCCCGAAGAGACAGGTCAGGGATGCACACTCTCCAGAGGGCTCCAGCTTCAGCAGCGCTGACCAGAGGTTCTCAGGTGTGGGAGCTGACCAGGCATGGTGATTGCTGGGCCCTCATGGTGTTGGGGGCTCCCGGGGCCCACTCTGTCTGGAGTCAGGGCCCCCCGCCCCCACGTGGGGGTTTGGGAACCGCAGGGTCACCTTTCAGGCCAGATGCGGCTCTTCCTGTGTTTTATCATAAAACTACATTTACTGAGCACCCCTGTGAGTTACCGGCTCTGAGTTCACTCCACCCCCACCCCCAGCCACCCAGAGGAGGGTCCAGTCATTAGTCCCATTTTACAGAGAATGTGGCTGAGGCCCAGAGAGGGGAAATGGTTGCCTGAGGTCACACAGCCAGGAAGCTGAGTTTGCAGACTTGCGTCCTCCTGGCTCCAGCGGCCGGGTTGCCAGAGGTGTCCAGGGGCGTCAGCACTTCCGAGCACTCTGGCGAGGCAGTGGGGCTCCCCCGCCCTCCTCCCAGCAATAAAAGTGGTCACTTTCATAGTAGGGAAAGCAGCCGTTACTCACACTCCCAGCCCCCCCCCCCAGGGTGCTGGGGTCAGCGCTGTTCCTGTGCCCCGTTCTGTCGCCCTGAGCCAGATGGTGGGCTGGGGTGCAAGCCTGCGGGCGGGCCCCCCCAACCCTGCGGGAAGGCCCGCTGGAGGCGGCTCAGACCTCGTGAGCTCGCATTCCTTTGCGTGGCCTCACACTCCCCACCAGATCGGTATTAGCGCAGGGAGCGTAAAATTGGAATCGGCTGGAGGAAGAGGACTGGGGACTTTCTTCTGTTTTACAGCCAGATGTGCTGGCTGAGCGAGCCCTGAGCCCTGGTCTGGACCGCCCTGTCACCCCAGCCCCCACACAGCCAGTGGGGTGCATTCCGCCTTCAGCTCTGCCGCTGGGGGACTCAGCAACAGCCAGTGCTGCCATCTTGGGTCCTGGGGGCCTCCCGCTGGGCTGGGAGTGCCCCGTCCTGGCTCCTCGCCTCTGCCTGAGCCCTCTGCTAGCCGCCAGCCCCAGCCTGGCCTTGTGAGCGACTGACTCAGCGGCTGCTCGGCTGCTCGCTCAGAGCTTACATTCTAGAGGGAGGCGCAGCCCCATGAGTCGGCAAGAACTGGAGGCTGAGAGGGCTGAGCAGACAGGCAGCCGCGTGACTGCACGGAGCGGTGCCGCGCTGTTTAATCAGACCCCTCGAGCGGGCCTGCGCCAGGGCCTGAGAGACAGCAGCGCTCACCCCGGGGCGCAGAGGGTGCAGGGGGCCGGAGAGAGCTGGCGCTCAGGCCCCGGGGCTGAGGCCGACGCGCGCCGGGCAGCGGGGCGGGCAGCTGGCCGGCCTGCCCCGACGGCCATGGGTCGCCGCCCGGTGACCTCGGCCGCGTACTGCACAGCACACACACAGCTCGCGCACCCACACCCAGTGCCAGCGGGCAGGCACGGACCCGCGCGGGGAACACGCTCGCCGCGTGCGCACACCCGAGCCCACGTGTGCAGACACGCGACGACGAACTCGGCGTGCAGCTGCGCGGCACTGCGGTCACGCCATAGACACGTGTGCGTGAGCACGCGGCCCTCAGCCACAGGCGTGCGTGGCGCGCTCGCGGGGGCGGGGGCTGGCGAGGCGCGCGTCTCGCAGGGCGGCCCTCCTTCCGCGCGCAGCCCGGCCGGGTGAGAGCCGGACGCCCTTTTCTCCTTTAAGAGTGACGTCGTCCGACATGTGTGGTGCTCGTGGCTAGCACGAGGCCGGTGTTGGTCTCAATTTGCAGGTAGGGGAAGCCGCAGCCCAGGCGAGGCGAGGGGCGCAGCGTGGGACCCCGGCCCAGGCTGACCCCGAGCCCGCTTCTCGGTCTTTCTTGTGAAACTGCAGTTGTGCCCCAGATCCCCTGCGCCCAGACCAGCGTTCAGCCCGCAGCCCTCTTCCCCCGCCTGCCCCTTGGCTGCCCCCGAGCTGGCGCTCCCTGGCGGCCACGGACGTTCCAGGGCGCATTTGGGCAATTTGTAAATACCCGTTTTTGTTTCTTTTTAAAGATTTGTTTATTTATGCAGACAGAAATGGGGTGCAGGCCAGAGGTGTGCGGGGGTGAGAGGACTCACCAGAGACAGAGTGGGGAGCAGAACAGGCAGATCGACGAAGTAACTGCTAAGGGGAGCAGAGGGCCAGTCAGGGGAGTTCTGTTGCACCATAGGGGTCACCTTTGGGTCCAGGGACAGAACTCGCATTGCAGCGGCTGCAGCTAGCTTGCAGTGCTGGGCCCTAACCCTTTGGGTCACCAGGCAGGGCCCAAATACCTGTTTTTAACGAAGAAGCTGTGCCTCCTGCTGGCAGGCACTCCCTGCCCTGCATGCCTGGCTGTGTGGCATTGGGCAGTGACTCAGCCTCTCTGAACTGCAGTTTCCCTCCTTTTGAAATGAAGGTGGACCCTCAGGTCACTGCGGGGGAAGGTGAGAGGACCGGGTAGAGGCTCCCTTCCCAGGCCCCCCTCCCAGGCCCCCACTGGGCAGCTGCCCTCTGGGAGCAGGGGCCAGCTTAGAGGGCGTGCGGTGCCCAGCCTGGGAGCCCCGGGGGAACATGCTCCCGTGGCTGCGCAGTGGCTCAGGCCCAGGCCCCTCCCGCAGGCCTTCGTGGAGATGGTCCGGCACCACGTCTCCTTCCTGGAAGCCCACGTGCTGCAGGCCGAACGGGACCACGCAGCCTTCTCTCAGGCCCTGCGACGGTGGTTGGGCTCTTCGGGGCTGCCGGCCCTCAGGAATGTGAGTACCAACACCCTCACCACCCCCCCTCCATCAGGGAGAGGAAACCAGAGTTCAAAGGGCACAGCTCCCTTCTGCAGACAGAAGGTGGCCCTGGCTGGCCCTGGGGCTCCGGCCGGTGGCTGGGCACCTCTGCCGGTGCCGAGCTTCCTGTGTGCACGCACGGACACACCCAGCACGTACTGAGCACCTGCTGTTTGCTAGTGCTGTGGTCCACCTGTGGCCTGTCTGGGTGGCCGTGGCGGGGGCAGAGCAGAGCTGCCTTCCTGTCCCTTCCCTACACACCGAGGACACGCTCAGGGCCTATGGGGACTCAAAGTGATTGTAGGGATCCCTGGGTAATCAAAAGGAGGCCTAGTCCTGGGGCCATCAGACACACTTCCCGGGTGACTCCAAAACATCATAATCCTTGGGGGGCGCCTGGGGGGCTTGGCCCTAAGCTGTTTAGACCAAGATGTGGTGATGCCCAAAGGGGCAAGGAGGGCAAAGGCGGGGTTCAGGCGGCTCCCTGCAGCACAGGCTGGGCCGTTGGAATCTGTCAGCGTCTTAGTGGGAGTCGCCGACGCTGCTTTAGGTTTTTGCTGCTCCACAGACTTCCAGTCTCTGCAGCTGACTCTGCCCTTGTCTGCGAGGCCAGCGAGGGCTTCCTGGCGCGTTCTACATGTTCACAGGGGCAGCACCCAGAATTCAGGCTGGGTCCTCCCTCCGAGGAAGAGCAAGGGGCTCCCAGCCGGTGTGCGGCCTCGTGCTGGCAAAGGCCGCTGTCTCCCACATATCTGCTCTCCCGGGGACGAGGCATCTGTACCTTTCACTGATGGACAAAACCGAGGCCAGGCTGATCCCACAGTGGAGACTGATTTCGTCCGCGTCTTTCTCTGCAACGCAGCTGTGGCCCCAGGCCCAGGGACACGGTGACACCTGCAGACACTGGGAGGGCGGGGTCACAGTGGGAGGGCGGGGTGTTCTGGCCCCTGTGGCAGAGGCCAGGATGCTCTTCAACACCCTGCAGCCTACGGGCCAGATGTCAGGGCCGCTGTCTGCGACGTGGCCTCTGATGCTCACAGTAACGGGTGACTGTGGCTGATACGGGCCGGGGCTGATACGGCCTTTTACTTGGCGCCTAATTCCACAGCAGTCTTTGGAGGAGGCCCCTCATCGCCCCATTTTATAGATGTGGAGACGGAGGTGCAGAGGCCAACTCACTAGGCTGCAGCGATGAGGTTGGTTCCGAGCTGGCTGGCCCATGCCCAGGGCCTCGGCCTCACAGGAAAGGCTCTCCTGGGCCGCCCCCCCCACCGCTGCCCCCCAGTGGGGTCTCTCACTGTCTCTCGGCTGTGCCTGTGGGCCCCTCCTGTGAGCCCTGCCCCCACACCCCCACTCTGCCCACACAAAGGCCCGTTTATGGTGTCTGCCACCCTCCAGGCAGTTAGCTGTGAGGATTCCTTCACCTTTCCCAGCCATTGTGTGTGCTGGGCTGGGTTGGGCCTCTTTAACAGGAGGAAAGGGAGGTTTGAAAAGTTTCAGGGGTGCCCTCTTGCAACCCACGTGCAGAATTTGGCCTGTGAGGACACATTCCTTTTGGCCAACGATGCTACTTAAACACTGACTCATGATGCCTGTCTGGGCTTTCACTGTCCAGTCCTTGCCAGAACCTCACTGCCCCATTTTATCTTATTCCTGCTGGAGGTGTGTGTTTCTCACCTGCCTGCTTTCAGGTGAGTGACTTGTCCAGGGCCAGGACAACTAGACAGTGACCCCACAGAGCCCACAGTGACCACTTCAGAGCCTGAGTTAATGTCACCTCCCCCAAGAAGCCCTTGGGGATTGCCCTTCTCCAAACAAATGCAGTTTCTCTGCCTTCCAGCCACAATGAAGTCATGAGCTGCCGCCTTTGTCTTCTTTCTGGGGTTATGGTGACTGTTCCTGAGTGATGGAGCACTCTCCCTGCCCCGCCCATCACTGAGGGCTTAGAAACACATCAGGGAGGAAAGAGACAAACCTTGGTTGCCTTGACCTGCAGCAAGTGCCCAAACAGCATCGCCTGCCGGGCCCCTGGCCTCTGCACTTTGCTCCCCTTTTCATAATGACAGTGTTGCCCCCTGGGCCACTAGGGCCCCCACTTAAACCCAGGGAACAACGTTGGAGGGGGGAATTGCACACCCCAGGTCAGTGCTGGGTGGAGCTCAGGCCAGTGAGGCCCTGGAGCTGGGGCTTGGGCTCCACATGCCCCCCCGGGGGGTGGGGGCAGGGCGTGCTGGGACCTGCACCCTGTCACTCTCCCAGGCCCAGGGCCCCAGGCCTCCCTGTGGTGACGTGTTCCAGGAAGTGTGTCCCAGCCCAGGCTGGTGAGTCACTGGGCGCCCCTGGTGTGTTGTTCTTGGCCCCGGGAGGGCTTTGTCTGGGGCAGGCCGAGCAGGTACGTGTGCGCGCCAGAGGGTGCCCAGGACTGCACCTGTGTGAGCAGGGGCCCTTCAGAGCGACAGGCTTATGTTGGGGCCCAGCCTCCCTCCCACCCTGTAGAGGACGTCCGGCCATAGTTCCTATTTTGCAGAGGAAACTGAGGCACCAAAGGCTACACTGCTTGACTCCCCGGAGCTCAGATTCGAACCTGCGGGTCCTGGGCCTGGAAGAGACGCTCTGCTCTGTTCTGCCAGGTCTTTCTGTGCCAGGTTCTGACCATGGGGACTACTGTTTCAGGGTAGGGCCCCCCCGAGTGCCTAGAGGGTTCCCCACTGCTCCTTCTGGGTTTCCCCCAAAGCTGATTCAGTGTCAAGTCGGTTCCCCCCAGTGTCTGCCTGAGGGGCCCTTCCCTCATGACAGCTGCTGTCACCCTGAGGGGTCCACCCGGCCCAGCTGCTGTCCCACCCCCAGAGTCCTCCTCCTTTCCTACCTGCTGCCGCAGCCTCCGGTCCTCCGAAAAGGATGGGTGGGGCCCCAGGGGTTGCTACCTGTGGGGTACACTGCACAGCTCCCCTGGAAGTCCATCCTACAGGTCACCGATTGCTGCCCCCACCATGGTCTTCACCCTCGAGCTGGGCAGGGGCTTTGGGGGCCTGTCTCAGCCTCCCTGCTACTCCTTCAGCTGGGGCAGGTGTTCTGTGGAGGGCGGGGGTGGCTGGGGGGAACAGGGAGAAAACTGGGCCTGTTCCTTCTCCCTCCGCAGGCCCGGCCCTCCGCCTCACCTCCTGCCTTTCCTGCTCCTCCTCTTATTGCCGCAGGGGGAGGCCCAGGAGGGCGAGGGCATCTCGGCCAGGGTCTGCTGCCCCTCCAGGAGTCCCCATCCTCTGCTGTGGCCTGGGGGGCCTCAGGATGCCAGGGGGAATGGGGGGGCTGCGTACCCCTCTCCTGGAGCTGGTTACCTCTGACTTGAGGCGCTTGAGAAATGTGTCCACAGACAGCACCGGGTTGGCTCCCCGCACCCCAATAAAAACAGGCACAAGGAGGCTCAGTGCGCCTGTTTTCAGGGCCGGGCTGCATGTCCTGCTGCCCTGCATGCAGGATTCACTCTGCATTTGGAGTGATTTGTGTGGCACCCTAAGATTTACTGGGCGGGGCAGCGACCCACCCCGGCCCAGCCTCCCGGCACGGGCTAGCACCAGCTTAGCCAAGAGAGGCTGCTGGAAACTGGTTTGGGTTTGATGCAAGACCATGAGGGTCTCTGCTAAAGCAGTGGGAATAAAAGGGAGAGGAAGGCTCTAGAAGGCTCCGGGCTTTCCAGAGGTTTCCAAGAGGTCTCAAGAGCCCCATCTGTGAGCAGTGGTGCCTCCGAGGACAGGCCGGCTCAGCCCTGAGCAGACGTGGGCCTGGGGGCACACCCAGCGCGGTCCCAGGCTGACCTCCTCCCCACGGCGAGGCGTCTTTTTACCCCCATTTCACAGGCGAGCAAATGGCGGCACAGAGAGGTTCCGTAACTTACCCAAGGTCACACAGCTGAGCGGTGGGCTAGGAATCACATTCTTGCCTCTGGTCCACGTTGGCTTGGGCAAGAACTGTGAACGCTTCTCTCAGGCATCTTGTGTCGTGGGGGAACCAGTGACCAGATCCTAAGAAAATTCAGTAGGTCACGTCTTCTAAAGGGGGGCTGGCTTGCTCTGAGGGGGTCAGGAATGGCCCCCAGGAAGCGCCCATAAGCGAGACCTGGAGATGAGCGAGAGAAGCGCCCATAAGCGAGACCTGGAGATGAGCGAGAGCCAGCGTGAAGTTGGGAGCATCACTCCCGCGGGAGGGAGCCGGTGCACAGCTGGGTAGGTGGGCTGGGCGGGAGCAGCCGGGTGCCCAGAGCAGCCACACAGAGGCACCTAGTGCTGTCCCAGGGCCCTGAGGAGCTGGGCAGGCCTCTGCCCTGGCCCGGGGCTGTGGTCAGGGAGCCACCTCTTGCCAGACTTGAACCTGCGAGCTCAGCCGCCTCGAGCGGCCCGGGGTCACCGAGGGACAAGTCTCCTCGGCCTCCTCGCCTTGCCAAGGGGCCCTTGTTCAGCTGGAGGAGGGAGAAAGCAGCTCAGAGCTGGAACCCACCTGGCTGTGTTGGGGCCCAGCACCTGCAGGGGCCCACATCTGGAGAGACTCTCAGCTGCGCTGGGGCGCCGGGGCCCGAAGGGCCTGGGGGGCCGGAGACCATGTTGGGTGTCGCTGTATCCCCTGGCCCAGGCCGGTGACCGCTGTGGGTGTTCTGCTGACCGTGCCAGGCCCGGGCACGTGTGCCCGGAGGCTCCGAGCCTCGCTAATTCGCTGTAAACCGCTGTTTGGTTTTTGCTGAGCCAAAACATCTTGTTCGTGAGGTGTCATTTTGATTAATTCTCTGAAGGCTAAGATACGCCGCTTTCCAGGGAAGGCTCTCTGGCTAGTAACAGAGCCGCGTGGGGCCAAGTCCTGACAGCCACAGAGCGAGGCTGCTGACTGGACTGGGGCCGGGCCTCGGGCCTGCCCTGCTCACCTGCTTACCCCAACGGATGCCGCCAAGCAGCCGGGGACAAGAGTCCCGCAGGTGTGAACAGTAAGGA